TATGTCCATGGGAACATAAACGTCACAAGGGGAGTATTCACACACATCATTACTTAGACTTAGAGAGAGTTCGTGGAGTCGCTTCGCAGGCTACTGTCGTCTGTCCCAAAACGTAAGTATTACTCTCGATGTTACTTGCAGGCCGGACCACTCGTTAAGCTAACTTCTTCTTTGAGTTCGTGTGACTTTGGTTTGGACCTCGCCTTTTGTTGTCCCTCCATCTTGAGGACAAAGGACGGTAATAGACGGAAAGAGGGGTTGTTTACGTGATATAGTCTGTTGAACGAGTAAAGACGGAAAATTTGTGTAACAACAGTATAGGGAGGTAGGACAAAATTGTAAATTTAGATTAATGAAGTCATCGTGTTCTGACATACTTTGATGATACTTGTAATTTTGACTAAAGTGATCAACGTTGACAAAATCGTCCTTTGCAAAAATAAAGTCTAAACACTAAGAAAATATTTTTATAATTTGCAAACAATAAAAAAAACACAAAGATAGGTTATGAACTGTACAAGTGGAGAGATTGAAATTTCTAGGAGAGGGCGACTACAAGTCCCATATAGTCATAATCACAGAGACGAAATTTCTCAGGGAGAGGGACGGACTACGAGTCCATATATAGTCATACATCACAGAGATGAAATGTCGCAGAGAGGACGACTACAAGTCCACATATAGTCATACATCACAGGGATGGAAATTTCCTTCAGGGAGAGGACGACTACAAGTCCACATATAGTCATACGATCACAGGGATAAATTTCTCAGGAGAGGACGACCTACAAGTCCACATAATAGTAAAATATAGATCGCATACATCACAGGATGAATTTCTCAGAGAGCCGACGACTACAAGTCCACATATAGTCATAATCACAGAGATGAAATTTTCAGGAGAGGACGACTACAATCGCACTATAGTCATACATGCACAGGAGATGAAATTTCTCAGGAGGAGTGTACGACACGAAGGTCCACGATATTAGTCATACCAGCACCAGAGATGAAATTCTCAGGAGAGGACGACTACAAGTCCACATATAGTCATACATCACAGAGATGAAATTTCTCAGGAGGACTTTTTTATTCAACATTCAACATTCGTCTTTTATAGATTACAAATGTTGGGTTCTTCAGTCCTTCAAGATGAAACAAGTACATCGTAAATTAAAAAATAAATAAGTTGGGTCTCATATTTTGTCTCTTATTAACTGTGTTTATTTTAGGCTAAATTATGTGTTTGTTTAACAAAGACGTCTACCTCAAACGACGTTCTTGTACTTAGCAATAATTGAAGTTTTTTATGTCTAAACTTTCCTTTCGTGGTTCTTTAGTTAGCACATGTCTACAAGCATTTCAGTTACAGTCGACTAGTATACGTCGGTTATTCTTTACTCAACCACTTTAGTGTCGGTATGTGAAGACAGAACCTCACCTTTAGTCAAGAAAACCCTCCTCGATGTCAAGGCGACCACGAAAAAATACAATGCAGACTTCACCTGGTAACCCCCCCCCCCCCCCCCGTCCACACACCCATACAACTAAGAAAGTAGGGAGGTGCCCCCCTTGACGGCAGGCAGGTGCTAGGCAGAGGTGCACTATGTTGTACAGGCGACGTCGCACACGAGTCAGTGGCGGGGTCGGGTATAGTGAGTAGACTCCCTCCTCCTCTGCGACTATTACTTACGTCTTTATTTCTAATTATAATAGACCCTTTATTTTTTCACCAGTAATTTACGGAAGTTTAAACTTGTATAACTCCCCCAAAAAGTTAACTTATTATTACTATTAATAATCCCCACGTGGTATTGAAAGAGCACTCAATGCCCCCAATGACCTTTCGAAGTCGTTCAGGCTGCCATTACCAGAGAGGCAAGAGTACACACATCCTTTACTCAAGTAGAAGTACAGATACTCGTGTTTAAAAATACTCTGGTGAAAGTAGAAGTAGTGACTAAACTTCTTTAATCAAGTCAAAGTAAAGAGGCTTTGAAATGTACTTCAGTAAAAAGTAACCATAACTAGCAGCTGTTTTAAAGAGTACCTGACCTCCCTTTATATTAATAGAACAATAATGTCATTGTTAGCTAATGAATGTTTCCATGCTGAACAACGGCAACATGACAACGTTTTCATTGGTCCCTCTTCTTTAGAGAAGACCAGGAAATGATGGATACACGGATCGTGTTCAAATCAATAGGAACGCAATGACTCTAAATAATAATGATCACGCCACCAAACACACATTCAGACTAAAGGAACCAGCCTGTTTGGAAAATGAGAGAAGTAGAAAGTACAGGTATTTTTGTTCAAAATGTAAGAAGTAGAAAGTACAGGTATTAGTGTTCAACATGTAAGAAGTAGAAAGTACAGGTATTTGTGTTCAACATGTAAGAAGTAGAAAGTACAGGTATTTGTGTTCAACATGTAAGAAGTAGAAAGTACAGGTATTTGTGTTCAACATGTAAGAAGTAGAAAGTACAGGTATTTGTGTTCAAAATGTAAAAAGTCCTCAGAAAAATAAGTAGTGGAGTAAAGTACTGATACCAGAAACATGTACTTAAGTACAGTAACGTAGTATTTGTACTCCACTACTTCCCACCTCTAATTATTATGTAAATATTGTACTAATCCTGTTGCTGCTATAAACGCCTGAATCTCGTCACGGGGATAAATAAAGTTCCATCTTTTCACATTACAGACGTTCATCCCCTTCCTCTCCAGATGAATTTTGTTAAACTGAAACTTAAAAAGTATCGATGATCATCTGGAAAATGCATCTGTTTTTCTGAGAAACTCACAAGAAGTTACCTTTGAATTGATCGAATATGAAGCATTGCTGCAGATTAAACTAACCAACGGTTCATAAAGGAGGTTAAAACATCTGAGATGCAAAATAATATGCGTATTATAAAGTCTAAAATACCTGCATTTTTTTTTTTAAAAGTAGGAAAAACGTCTAATAAATCTAGAAAGAATCACGGAAAGTTGTTCACAGAAATCCCAGAATTTGCCACAAAACAAAACGAACATTTATCTGAAAAATGTCCAAAAGACAGTAAACAGCAACTTGCTTACAGAATAAGTTATTGATTAAACATTAAGCGTAGCAGTGATGTTAATGCAGAATGCTGCTGCTGCAGAGTTTCCTCACGTTTCTGCGGAAGAGGCGGTCCAGCAGGCTGCGTTTGGGGCTCTCGGGAGTCTGAGTCCAGTCCAGGTCTGAAGATCTGGATCCTTCAGGGCCGAAAACGTTCAGCTCTTTGAAACAGCCGGTATCTATCACCTGCAGAGAGGAGGAGGCATGCAGGTTCTTTAACCTCCTGTTGTGTTCGGGTCAACTCTGACCGATTTACTACTTTCATCAATCATAACTTTTTTGTTTAACATTCGATTGCATCAAGGCTTTATGACATCCTTCACAGTAGACATTTGAACATATGACATGGCTGATCACCACTTTCATTGAGTTTTGGATGATTTAGTCAACTTTGTAACACACACACACACACACACACACACACACACACACACACACACACACACACACACACACACACACACACACACACACACACACACACACACACACACACACACACACACACACACACACACACACACACACACACACACACATAGAACAATTTGACACATTTCCCGCTCTTATGCGCCCCTCCCCCCCACATGGATCACACCTGGCACACCACATGCTCAGTGTCTGTTCTTTGTATATTTACTGCAGTGTTTCATGTATACCAGTAGTCTGATACAATATGTACAGTTTGAAAGGGTGTTAAATGAAATGTGGTGATTAATGGTTTTTGTGTTAATGTAATAGCAGTTAAAACAAGACCGGTCAAATTTGACCGCGAACACCAAAATAAGGGGGGGAACACGAAGACAACAGGAGGGTTGACTCAGTGAAAGTACTTATACCACACTGTCAAAGGGAAGGGTTTGTATTGGTCGTGTTAATAAAGCAAAAGTACTACACTCTTCAGTCCATTGAAAATGTCAGAATATTATGAACAAATGATCTGAGAAAATGTCCTATGTGAAAACGTTCATTTTTGAAAATGTATGTTATGTTAAAAACAAATCTCGAGGAACTTGTAAACTATGTCCTAAACATTCCAAAAGAATACGTGAAAAATGTGTGAAACTGAACAAGTCTTTAATCTCAAAGTAAACTGTCAAAATACGTCTCATACGGTGGTGGTGGCGAAATACTTAGGGACTTGGCTTGGCAACTGGAAGGTCACCAGTTCAAGTGCTTCCGAGGTGTCCCTGAGCAAGGCACCGTTCCCTACACAGCTCCCCGGGCGCCGTAATAATGGCAGCCCACTGCTCCTAACACTAGGATGGGTCAAATGCAGAGAAACCGTGTTGTTACATAGTACCTGTCTGACGTAACGACAATAGGTTGAATCTAATCTAATCTAATACAAGTGACAGTAAACACTTAGTAAATGTGCTACACTGTGAAAAGACAAGGGTCAAAGCAACATTCCTGCATTTGAATCTGATTTGAATAAAGTTCCAAAACCACACAGAACATATCTGAAATATTTGACACCCAGAAACAATTCTTAAAAAAAAGGACTTAAATGTTTATTGCTGCCAATAAGGTGTCTCTTAATTGGATAAGTGGTTAAACGACTAAGCTGTTCTTGTACAAACTAGTCTAATTTACACAGAATGCAATATTTGATCAGCTTCTGTCATCTGAGAATATCTTTATTTAAAACAATACTAAATCTGTTAAATAAATGGGTACTTGTTGGTTATCTGTCGCCACTTTCTCTGTTTGTTTTCAGACGAGGGTTAGGGTTAGGGTTCAGTTAAAAAGTGGCGACAGATATCCCAAAAGTACCCAAACATGTTGTAAAGTATAATATTTCCCTTTTGATTTGCAGTGGGTTTGGAGTATAAAGTGTCCTGCAAAGCAGATGTCCGTCAGAGTACAAGTACCTCGTTCTGCCAGTTGATGGACACGCTGCCCGTGTTGAACTTGCAGTAAAACTCGCTGTCGGTCTCACCCAGAGTGACCCCCTTCACCGTGGAGAACTCATCGATGTCCTGCACGTCGCTGCAGTACACCAGTCTGGGCTGCAGGGGGCAAACAGATCCAATTCAAAGAGTGAAACACCACCACACAGTGAGCAGGAATACAGCTTTTAACCCTTTAATACTCAGAAAACACCATTTATTCTCCACTGGGGGGTGAAGGACAGCAAGTTAACTACTGTACTAATGAATATATATTTGAGGTACTTCAAACGGAGGTATTTCATTGATTATTTCCATTTTCTATCCCTTCTGTCCTCCTAATGGGGTGAGACACCACCACAGAGTGAGCAGGAATACAGCTTTTAACCCTTTAATACTAAATAAAAACACCATTTATCCTGCTGGGAGAGAAGTATTAAAAGTCCCCTATCATCCTGTTCTTCATCAGGTCTCAGATATATACAGGGCCTGTCTCTGATTGGCTGAAACACCAAACAGATCCTTGCAGCATTACCCATAATCCCCTCTGTTTCAGCCCTGTTTCCAAAGTGCTGATTCTCAGTGTGTTACTTTAGAATGACTTTGTATCCAAAAATACAATATGAATTATTAACCTGGTTATTAACTACCTTTTACTAATAGCTCAAATAAGCGATGTATTCATTAGCTGCACATTATCAATCCAGTATTATAATAAATCTGCATAATGAGTGATGCATTGTGAATATAATCATTTTAAACGTTTCCGTCAATTAAAAATGTTATTCATTCTTCCACCACTGCAAGTACATTTATGACATTTAAATTATATTACAATCATTATTTTAAATGTGACTTTATTTTGTGTATAAGTAGCCTACTGCCGAATTACAAAGTTGTTTTTTTACCAATAAACGTTCATTTGAAGCTATATAAGTGTGTGGGTTGATTGAAACGTAAAAAAAGCACATTTTCCCAAAACGACTTCTGTATTTTTACTTAGCAATGCTTTTACCTGTCATAAAGTAAGTTGAAAAAGATAAAAACATGAAGTCATCAGTTTTAAAGAGACCTAACATGTATCTGATCTTCTTTAGTGGTTTCTTTTTAAAGTACTTGCATCAGGTTTGAACGGCGGCTCGACGAGTCCGGCCTCCAGCATCCGGAAGTTTACTTTCCTGAAGAAACGATGATCCTGAACGTCTTTCCCCCCCGAAGCCAAACAGCCCAGACGCTCCTTGGGGTCTTTGTTCAGCAGCTGAGGAACAGAGACGTATATTTAGATATATGTATATATATATAGTCATTTCTACAAAGACCAGAGGTGAGAGGAGTACTTAGATCTGGTGCTTCAGTAAAAGTAGAAGTAGAAGTACTCAGGTCTTGTACTTGAGTAAAAGTAGAAGTACTCAGATCTTGTTCTTGAGTAAAAGTAGAAGTACTCAGATCTTGT